GGAGCGCTTACCTCGTATATGTGAGGCACTGAGTTCAATCCTCAGCACCACATAAAAATAAATAAATAAAATAAAGATATTGTCTCCATCTACAACTAAAATAATATTTTTAAAAAAGAAAATTATATTTTCACCTTCACATATACCATTATATTCAATATAATGAAGAAGAAAGGAAAGAGAAAAAATGAAATTAGATGAAAGAATTGTTTTTCAAACAGGCAACTTCGGTTTTGACCTTTTAAATTTCAGTGTAATTAAGGACTAACGTTGGGGACATGTTAAGATTATAATTTCCACATTAATGTCAGCAGTGAGTTTACAATGCCTTATTTTCTTGAATACTGGAACAAATTCTACAGGCATCACATACACCTTAAATTCTTGCTCCCCTACCCCAAGGGGTCACAGGCCTATTTTATCTATTTTACTATGCCAAATCTCAGTAACTTACTAAAGAATTCTACATATTTTATAGCCATCTGCATTAAATCACATGTAGGTAAATCCCAGGAAACATTTCTCTAACATTGACCTTTTTTTAAAAAATATTTCAGTGATTTCCAGACCCTTGTCATTGGGAGTTTGTGATCATAAATTTGATGGAAACTTATGGATGCCAAAACTTTATCCTTACACAAAATTGTGGGAAACAAAGCTTGTGTCACAGATCATAGATAGTCAATGAGTGTCTGCTACATTGAATTTTCTTCTTTGACCACTGGCTACCTCTCTTTTTCTTTTGATAGAACTCCTTTTGTGCTCATGGAGGGACACATGTTTTAGTACTCACTCTTCTCTGATTTTTAGCCCACGCCTATGGTGTAGGGAGATGCTCAATATAAATTATCTCAATTAAAGTACTAGTAGATGGTGTGTTATTTTATATTTTTATACTATGATGTCCCTATTTAAGTATATTAAAAGAAGAGGGCAATGCTTAAAAGAAGGAGGTAGTCTCTCTTGGTAGAATTTCATGGTTGACATCCAGATTGAAGGAAGCAAGAATTTTTTGGTATCTCTCAGGTGATGCTCACAGTTTAATCCACTTACCTACAGGGATAGTTATTCCTAAAGAAGTAAGTTTACTTCAATAAGAAAACACCTATATAGGTTTTTAAACTTAGTCCTCTATAGATTTTTTAATATAATAGTGCTCTATTGAGATACAAGTATTAGAGTTGATAAATAAATATAGAAAAACCTAGGTATCTCAACCCATGTATTCAGAAGCTTTCAACAATCCATCAGAAAATTCCCAAGGAAAAATATTTAAAACTGAAGTTTCTCTACTTTTATCCTTACAGCAACAGATATTTTGTGCAAAGTTATCAATGTGAATCTTGAAATATTCAATTTAGTAGTCTTTATTGATTAAATTTGTAACAAAATCTCTACTTGAGTTTTTCTGCACAGATAATATAGATTCTGGTTTATCTAGGCTTGACTGACCCTCTAGTTTGTATGACTCTACATAACACCAAAATTGATAGTAAATTCAGATTTTTTTAAAAAGTCAGTAAAATTGAGGGTTCAATTAGTCAAAATATGTTATTATAATTTTCATATTTTATGTGATTGCTTTGGTTTTGTGTGGCTCCAGCTTTAAACTTTTCCTTTCTGTATTGATTTCTTATTCTTCAGTGACCTAAGAGAAGTCAACAGAAGCACTGTATTAAAACTAAATTTGAAAACATATAAATTAAAGCAAACCTTGTGTTTCTGTGTAATGGTTGCATCTTATCATTTGTCTTGTCTTTCTTCATCTTTTCCCATTATTTCCTTATAATAATGTATCTATACAGTAAGTTTGATTCCACTTCCTGTCTTCAAAACTTGGAATTTTCATCTTATAAGAGAAACTAAGACTGTATTAATTGATACACCTAAAGAAATTATGTTTCAAAATCTATGACCACAGAGTGCTTCTGATAAACTAGGAAATATTTACAATTTGCAAAAGTATTCATTATCAAATGAAAATTGTGAAACATATGTTCCATCTAACAAATCTTATTATATTTAAAAGAATCAGTTAAATGAAGTTTCATGTTAAAACTTTGTCTTTTTTCTGAAGTAACTGGTTTATAGCAAAAAGAATATGTTTTTCTGTCACTGCCAACTCACAGACAATAGAATTAGATGATAAAGAAAAGTGATGTACCCCATATGCCCTTGACCCAGCTTAGTCTCTCTTATGAGACTTACACAAATGTTTCTTCCTATGTTCTAAACAATAGTTCAGGACCAACCACCTGAGTTTACATAAATATCAGGAAACCACCAAGTGCCTACCTTCAAAGAGGTAAATGATCAACAGCAGTTAGCAAGATGCTGTTTCTCTTTCACAGCTATGTAAGGGCAGAGACCCACTTTAAATTTCCAAATTACCTGCCATTCTACAAAACATGAGACATCCTATATACTTTCTTAGTTGAACAATGGTAGCAAATTTTACAAAGTAGGATTAACATTCCTGCCATGACAAAGCAGCCAATCACTAGGACATGAATGTATAAGTTGTGCTTTTCTCTGTGAGAAGAATCTATGGAAGGCAAAACAAAACAATAAAAACAAAACTACACATAAGTAACCAAAATATCCTGCTTAGTGAGGTAGGCATACTATATTGGGCGCATAAATGAATGAATAAGTGAATGAAACTAAGTCATATGAAAGATATAGATTAAAACTGTGAAAGACTGTTTAAAACTGGCATAAATTAGGAATTGTTATCTAAAGTTTTATTTAGGCACTGTTTAGTAAACATTCCTGCTCTTTTGTAGGTAACTTTTGACATGGATTTTAAAATGAATTATACCGTGGAAACTACAGGTAGTGGTGATTTCTTACCTTTGTTGATCTGTTCTCATTTCCCTTCCCACAACTTTCCTCTACTAGCAAGGCCTAAACTGCAAAAAATCTTTGACTCCTGTCTTGTCTCTGAGGAGAATAGGGTGATTATCTAGGGAATGAATATTACTCTCAGAGATCCCTAGCACACCAAAATCCACCCTAGACACATTTTTTTAAGCTTCTTGGCTCCAATTTATTGCTTACTGCCTACTAATTTGGGGGGGTGGGGAGGTCTTCCCTTAAGCACACAAAGATTATCCTGTTGATGCTGATTTTCTGGATAACCTGAAAGAAGAATGGAATACAGAAAGTTTTCCTGTTTAAAAAATAAATAAATAAGAGGAGGGAAGATTGCTGGAAGTGGAGAATAAGCTCTGGTGTCTGATGAAACAGTCAAATTGGACCAAATGAGAAGGATAAATAAAAATACTAAAACAGGTATAACTCTGGCTGCCCCTGAAATTTCAGAAAATTTGCTCTTCACCCCAACAGACTGTGCCCTTTATCACCAAAAGTGGAAGTTATTTGATCAGAGTAAAATGATCTCTAAAATATGAACATAGGCTCCTCTGAGAAGCGTGCTGGATTCCCTGGGGTGTGTGGGTAGAGCCCTCTGGACTAGGTGCTCCAGACATCTCACCACGTGTGCTGCAGTCAGCTGGAGTCCACCCCAAAAGATTAAAGAGGCTCAGGAGTCAAGCGTGGAACCGCTCCTGTCCTGGAGTAAACCTCCAGGTTTTACACCGGGCCCTCTAAAACCCACCGGAGGAGGCTTTTCAACCAGCCACCCGCTGATGTGTGCGCTTCCAATCCTGCTACACAGGCCCCTGCCAGATTGTCAGCCCGGTAGAGAAGCTTGCGCTCCTCCACAGCCTGAGGAGTCTACTGGCCTGTGGGGTCTTAGGTCTGAGGCAGAACAAGTCAGATACACCTGAGAGTAACCGACTGACTCCAGGTGACTAGGCAGCGCTATCTCCTGGTCACTTTCCAGCTCTTCCTGCATATCTCAGAGGCCACGGTTATGGATTTTTCTGCTGGACAAACCCCTTCTGGAAAAGCGATTGGAACCAACCATGGAAAAGCCTCGCAGAGGATTGCTCTAATCCACCCCCCCTACCCCGCACAGCCCCAAATCACCTCTTCTCTTAGTTGCTTAGAAGCAGGGAGGGGAATACGTGGGGTGGCTGTGATGGTCTGGAAACTCAGATGAAGTGGAAGGGAAAAATAGATTTAAAAACAAAAAAAGAAGGAAGAAAGAGAATGCTAATGAAAAAAACTTATAAAGAAAATTAAGAACTTGATTTTAAAAAAAATCCTGCACAATTCATACCCACAACAAATGGAACCTCTCTGTTTCTTTTAAAATACTTTCTCCTACTTGTCCTTCAAGACCAAGGATGTCCGCACTTCTAAAGAGATATTGTCACGGTCCCAAGACACGAAACTGTTAAACATCACTGGAGTTAATACTTGCAATGTCCATCATATCTCCCTCTCCAAACGTGTCCGGTTTTCCAGATAGCCGCCTTCTTCAGGCAAAATCTCTGCCCTCCCCCTGACTCTTTCCATATATATTTCTATGCACATATACAAGTACCTATGTATATACATATGTGCAATATAAACATATACTATATTAATTCGGGATTTATGGTTATGGTTGGAGAAGGGAAGTATTTTTAGATTTGATTCCTGTAAAAAAAAATTAACTTCAGCTATGTACAGGGAAAAGGAATGCACTTTGATGCCTAATGAAAAATACCAACATAGTTCATAAGCAGAAAGTAAAAAGAAATTTAACACGGAAAAGTAAGAAATTTGGGGGGATTTTATGAAGGCATGGCCGGAGGATCATCTTGGGGGCCCAGCATCCTGGAAACAAGGTGCCTGTCTAGGCACCCGTCTCTGGGTAACCTTCACCTCAGGAATCGCCATTCCTCATGCCCAGCCCAGGAGAGGAGTGCGTATGAATGTGCCTTGTAGATGCACGTACACCCAACCCTCCCGGCTGTTCTCAGGACTAGCTGCGTACCAGGAGATGGGGCTCCAGAAGGTGCTCCTTTGGCCCAAAGAATACTGGCTGTCCCTCTGGAACCTCCCATAGCCTGCCTAGGACATGTGCTGTAGGCGATCAAGCAACTTACTTAACATATTGGCTTCGTGGGAGCCATTGACTTTGCCATCCGGGTAGATCTGCAGATGAAAACCAATGCCCACTCTGCAGTAGAGACTGCCAGTCCGGCGCCCCGAGGGGCTCCACTGGAAACTGCTCTGCTCCAAGCCGCTTCCTTGGTTGCCCAGAGAAGCCGCGGGGGAGGAAGAAGAGGCAGGAAAAGACCTGGAAGACGTCGTGCCACTAGTGCTCTGGCGGCTGCCGGAGTCTCCCGGGTTCCTATTAGTGGCAGCGGGTCCGGATTGCCCTTTGGGGGCAAGATGCTTCTCCCCGTGAGCCCAAGCGCTGAGGATCAGGTGGCTGAGGAAGAGGAGGAAGAGGAAGGACAAGCTCATTCTTCCAGTCGCGGGGGTCCTAAGTGCATCTTGTTGGGTTGCTCCTGGGCTCTGTAGCCCCCGCGCGGCTGCGTGCCTCTGGCGCTGCCCCCCTCGCCGCACGGGGTGGACATAGCCTCGGGGAAGAGAGAGGGAGTGGGGGAGAGAGAGAGGCCACCGGAGCGGATCTCGGCGCTGGCACCGGGATATTTATAACGCCAGTGATCTCACTGCTCTGTGCACGCCTGCGAAGCTTCCCCTCACCCGCCGCTTTGTGTACTCACTGGCCGGTGCGGGGAGGGAGCCTAGCTGTCCCGGGGGCGGGGGGTTGAAGGAGGGAGGAGATGGGAGAGAGTGAGTGGGAGGAGAAGCCGGGCTGAGAGAAGCTGCACCCCGGACGCTGGGTGCGCCCACACCAGGGCCGAGAACCCCAGCAGTTCTCACGCGCCTCACAGCACCCCCCCCGCGCAACTGGGGCCAACGCCGCGCAGGATTCAGCTCCGCGCCAGCAGTTGAGTCCTTCAGGGACACCGACGGGAGCCAAGGGTCGAAACGTGGAAAAGGGTTTTCGTCCTCTTCCACGTCTCTAGCGCACTCGGGTCCCAGCAAGACACTCTTGCCTACCCGCAACCCGAATTTCAGGTTTCTCGCCTTTGCCTAGCAGACCCCCATAGATTGCCCCTCCCTCGGGGACCCTTCGGACAGCTTCAAGTGATTTCCGCGGGAACCCAACAGGGATTCGCAGCACAACTTGGAAAGGCTTTTGGTGTGGCGCGGTTGGGAGAAAATGCTGGTTACTGATTCATTAAAGAGCTAAGGAATGGGTTGATTCAGCATTTGAAAAGCCACCCTGGATCATTAAGCTAGGATTTGAGCTGCTTTCCGGTTACAAACTCTTGATCGCAGCTGAACATTATGCTTAATTTGTTTTTACTTCTGGGACTGTGTTCTGATGGGTAGTTGTGCTTTTACACACGCGCGCGAGGGCGAGCCCTCAGACCCAGGGTAGGGGTATTGGATTTGGGCACCAACACAAGTGACTGGCTGCCCAGTTGTCCTCTCTCGCCCCAAGATCCCCTTGGCAGGAAGGATTAACTAAAGGCTCGCTTCAGCTTACTCAGAGCTGCCATTGACTGAAGGACCGACCCCAATGAATGATTAATGACGCGCGCGCTGGATTTCAACCTCAGGAAACCTGAGAACAGGGAATTTCCCTGTACGCAATGCCCCGACTTTTATTTATCTGAGAAATATACCTGACTTGCATTCTTGAAATATTTCTGTCTGAAAATATATCTGAAGCTTTAAACTAAGTTGATACATTATTCATTGATCATTTTAATGAAAAGGCTGTGATACTGACTGATAATGTCAATTCGCATAAGCCAAGGTTGATGCTAAGATATGGCCTTATCCATTATTGAGCATCCACTTAAGATTTCCTGTCTCAATAATGAAAAGCATATCAAGCATATGTAGATTTTTTAAGAATTGGAAATTTTCCATGTTCAGAGTACTTAATATCAAGGAAGCTGTAAAACAGACCACAGGGAAGCCACCGTGGGGAAGAAAGGGCACCTCACATACATAGGTACATAACATGGGGCACAGTACCCCTGGCATGCTATATAAATTCTGTCCAAGGCTGAACATTCTTACTACTGTTTCAAGTGCAAGCTGTATGTTTCTGGCTTAACCACTGTAGGTAAATCCTTTAAGGCAAACCTAAAGTGAACTGAGAACAGTAATATGATCCCTGAGGATGGTCCACTTGACTGAAGTGACTCTTTCCAGGATGAAGGATAGATCATAGGATGCCAGACTTGGGTGCTATGCATTCTAAAATGATGCCCTTGTGTCTGTGATAAAGCTATCAAGGTTTAAGGCATGTTAGTGCTTCTGAGTGCCATCACTTAGTCCCCTCCTATGTCACAGTCTACTGCACTTGCCTAAAGTGGCAAAGATTTTCCAGAGTAAATTTGGTCTCTTGTTTCTCCCCTTCCTCCTGCTGAATGAGTTCCTGTCCCAAATACTGGATCAATCCCTTCTCTAAAAGTAAAGTGGAATGGTGGGACAAGAGAACTCTGGGGTCCTGGTTTCCAGAGCTGATTGATCTCTTCTCTTTTCTCCTTTCTCTTAGCTTCTTGAACCTCACCTGCACTGAAACAGCAGTCTTTGTTATCAGTCTGTTACCCTGCAAAAGCCAAGTTTAGGAGCAAATTCTTGTGTGGGGCTGGAAGTATAGCTTGCCAAGTTCCTAGGTTCCATCCCCAGCAGGGAAAACAAAAACAAAGACCTTGTCTCATAACCCAGGAAGGTCAAGACACCTGCTGAGGCTGTAGTCTACCTCAGTATGGAAGGTGAAAGATACGCTCTCTGGAACCCAGGATGTAAGAAGAGGAGCAGCGGTGGGAAGGGGTAGCTGTTGTGGGCAGGGATTAAATTTGGCAAACCAGACCTAAACACTCAATTCTTCCACATATGCTTAGAAGTGAACCTCATCATGTCCATAAGCAAGTAGAATGAATGCCATTCAACTTTCAAAATTTCTTACTGTGAGTGTAACGCAAACATTTGTAAATCGCTGCTCTAATTTATCTGATTCCTCCCAAGAAATAAGTAAGCAAGTTAGTCCGATGGGTTTTGCATATCTTACTCTTGTTATAGCAAGAGGATGAACAGGATGAACACGAATTGGGGTCATATAAAAGCCCTGCAAAAGCTGAACAGTGGATATGAGAAGACAACAGCGCGCCTGTTGGTGATCTGAGCTGCCCATCCCCTCCTTCTACAGCTCCGCTGAGATAGGAAGCAGTCGCCCTTGCATTCCCGAGCTTTCACTTCTGGCCTACAACCTGCCTAACTTCGGTAGCTAGTCTCCGCCCAACCTGCATTCACAGCCAGTCTGTAGTGGGGTATGTGTGTGGGCGATCTTATTTCACTGTCTCGTCTTTTCCAGGCTTTACTCCCGTAAGTTCCACCCAAAAGAGAGCGCAAACCTGTGCCACATTTTCTTTGGTGACTTTCCGAAAGGGAAATCATTCAAAGCCCCCTACTGGGGACATTCGGGTAGTCCATTTACAAGTCGCAGAGCCTGGTCAATGTCCACAAGACTTACAGGATTCACACCCATAGGGCAAGTGCGCAGCGCTGTTTCCTGGTTCCCACTCTGCCAGCCCGGGGAGAAAGGTCATGGAGAAGGTACATGCTTGCTCCTTGCTAGCTGCAGAGGCGAAGCTAAAGATTCTCAAAGACAAGTGTGCACACATCACACCTAACAGGCTATCCCCAAACTAACAGAGAGAATAATGGGTTTCACCTGTCTTCTAGGCGCCAGCCTCTGTGCTCAAGTCAGTTTGGCCCCTATTTTCTCAGGTTTAACGTCCACAGTTTCATTCCCTAGGGCTCACCTGTGTCAGCTACGTGACTCCCTGGCTTCACATTCCCTAGCCCCTCCACCTCAGGTTCATCTTTCCTGTACCCCAGCATCTGAGCTTTTTCCTCCCTATAAGGCCTTTCCTAATTCTGTGAGAAAAACATAGCCATGAATTCCCCTTACCTTTTCTGTAGCTACAACTGTGATCTGGTCACTAGCAACAAGAATCAACTCAAAGGAAGACAGAATTGCCATATCCTTAGGCTGGAACCTAAAAACCTAAGAAGAGAGAGGTCAGTGTCAGGGAGTCAGTGCCCATGCTTCCCTTCACCTAAAGGACAAGCTCACTCTCTACAACCTTCCTTTGGACTTAAGCTTAAACCAGGGCTCTGAAGGTCAGGCCAGGGCTTCTACATCCTATAGTACGTCATGCTGGGATCAAGAGGAGGCCAAGAGGTCCATCCTCGGGTAGGAATAGCAACCCTGTGTAGTGAAGCCAATCCTGGGAGATTCTGCAGCCTGTGAAGCAGGCTGCTGCCCTGTCCGGTGGATCTTGCATAGGCTTCTGCTTGAAAGCCTCAATCAGGCCTCTTTGCTCCTGGAGATACAATCACTATGAGATTTGTCTATCTCAAGGTTTGTCATGTTGTACAGTTGTAAGGCAAGCCCTGGTTTTCTTCCTTTGATCCAAGTAAACAAAAGCCCAGAGGTTTTCAGAATGTTCTGAACAAGCTGCTTCAAACCTAGTTTTAAAGGACTCTGTGGCCTTCCATTTCCTTCCCTGCCACCTTTCTACCATATGGGAGGCCGTACCCAGGTCACAATATGTACCACCTTTTGCTAACCAGGTACCTGGCAGACCCACAGTGACCTCTAATGTCATACCACTTTTAATGGAGGTTGTTATGGAATAAATGTTGTGTTGTCCAAAAATCGTGTTGAAACTCCAGTCTCCTATGTGATGGTATGTAGAGATGCAAGTTTGGGAGGTGATTAGGTCAAAAGTGTGGAGTCCTCATAATGAAATTAATGCCTTATAAGAAGAGATAGGAAAGAGCTGGCTTCGCCCACCCCTCCCCCACTCCATGGGAGGAAATCAGAAAGAAGACTCTCATCAGAGCCTGTCTGTGCTAGTGCCCTGTCTCAGGCTTGCCAGCCTCCAGAACCGTGAGGTATCCATCTGTTTTTTTAAGCACCCAATCTATGGCGTTCTTGTTACAGCAACCTGAGCTGCCTAAGACAAAAACCTGTAGCCTTGTGGGAGGAGCAGGAGCTGACCTGTGGGATGCACAGTCCATGCTCGTGCCAGGACCCTCTACTTCCTCCAGGCCTGGCATTCCACCAGCCCAGTTGGCAGCAACTACAACAGCAAATAGCCTGTGGCTAACGGAGCAGGCTGAGCAGGTTGAGAGGGTGGGAAGGGTGGGAAGGGCCTGCTGTGTGAGAAGAAATCAGACTAAGAGGGGCAGGAGAGGACACATGCAGGTGATTATGGTGTGGTTAAAAGGGCACATCCTGAGCCTAGGACTCTTTCACTTTCTCCAGGTTCTATTATTTTCCCCTGAGGAGGGAGCTATTTGGAAATAGCCACCAGTTATTTCTCTCTTCTACATCTGTGGAGTCAGAAAATAAAATAGCCTTTGCTATTTTTTTTGCAAAAAGAGATCTTTATGACCTGAATGAATTCAATGAAATCAATTATTTGTCCCCCAAAATCTCAGCTCCTGTGCTTTCCAACTAGCCTACTGACTACACAGCCAACCACAGAAGATAGAGCTCCCTGTGCTTGTTACACAGGGGTGCAAAAGTCATGATCAAGATCATGCCACCAGTCCTCTCCCAGAGCCCACTCTACCTTTTGTAATGGGTTTTGCCACTGGCATAGTCTGTTTCTAATAATATGAATATGAGTATTCTGGGTATATGAGAAATGCTGTATGTCAGTCCTAATACCCTATAAGCAGAGTGCATTGGGAGGTAACAAGAAGGAGAAGAAAGAAGAGGAGAGGGTCTATTAATCAAATTGCTTTAGCATCTGGATGTTTGGTTTGTATCCAGAGAGA